CCTACCAAACTTAGCCTTTTAATAAGGCAACTTCAGAATTTCCACAAAAACTGCCACTTTCAAAATTTGTGAAACTTTCAGAATTTGGGAAACTTTCAGAATTTGGGAAACTTTCAGAATTTGGGAAATTGAAGCCCTTTAATTTTTTATGGTTTCATTTTGTTTTGTTTGTTTTAAATGAATGCCATTTAAAGGTACTGAATACTTGCTAAAACATGCTGAGCACATTCAGATCTGATGTTGAAGAATATATTTGCCAGACTAGTGGATATTGTGCAATTCTCGATCTAATTTCTCTGCTATGCCAAGGAAGCACATAATTCCTTGCTCTAAATGAAAAGTAAGGAAGCTGCTCTTCTGAGGGAAGCTAGCATGCCATGTTTTCCCTTCTCTAGTCTCACTAATTCTAGTTCTGGTGAACATGCTCTTCCAAAGGCCAGGCAAAAAAGCAACGGTCTCATTCTGCGTCCTGGGGACACACCTACACACAGAGATGCTCTCATCAAGGATATTTTTCTTTTTCTCTCATGACCAACTGAGTCAGTGCACCTAGTCAGCAGCTGGTAAATATCATGCCTTACAAACATAAAACAGGCCACCACAAATCCCACATGAGAAAAAAGCCCATTGCTCACTTGAGTTCTCATCTAAATTGAGGATGGAAGTGAAGAATAAGTCTAAGTGATGTTTATTTCTTCTTTTTTTCTTCTGCCTTCTTAAAACCAGAGATGGCTCTTCTAGTGCCCCAGGATTGACAATCTCAGCTTTTTCCTTTGCTTATCTGCAACCATCTGCATCTTAGTCATTAAGCTAAGAACAGTGCTTGTTTTCCAGATCCCTTAAAAAGGAAAAGAAACCTTTCAGGAAGGTAGTGGCACTGGAAATTCTACATACAGTGAACTAAAAAGACTGTCGCTACATGCAAACAACCACCTCTTTCAAATTATTTTTGGAAACCAATTTCTCCAGTTATGAGCAATGGTATCCTATTAACATCAATGGGTCTGCTTGTTTGAAATATAAAAAATGTCCTGGGTGCTGGCCAGGGCTGCACAGAGTTCTTCAGGCTCAAAGGTTTGAGACAATTTCAAATTAAGGATTTCCTGTTTGTTTTCTGTTTCTTTTTAACTTGCTCCTGGTTTTATGCCTTTTCAGCCTTGTAGTTATGCTTTGAGCAAATTAAGTAAGTAGCTAAGTTAATCGGCTGAATAGATCAGGGTCTTTCATATCATGCATCTAGAGTTTGTTTTTTTTTAGAAGACAGGAGCTAATCTTAGCAGTTATTGTAGCAAACTGATGTAAATGTTTGGAAATTAGTCATTTGAACCATATCAGAGCTATTCCAGCCTTTCTGTTCTAGGTCAGATCTTATCAAATTTATGCTATCTTCATTTTCAATAAGCAGTTTTCATGACTACTCAAAAATGTTGTACCCTCTTTTCTTGGTGAGGACCATTTCCATGCTGGCCCAGCTGTAGGAAGGAAACAGAGAGTCTGGGATAGAGATTGTACTGTAGCCTATGCTTTGATTTTGATGTGCTCTGGCTCTGGTTGATCTTCTGCAGCTTGGTTTAGCCTTTTGTTCCTACTACTTCTGCTCATAGCACTTCTAAACTCTCGCTGCTCCTTGGGTTAGCTATTTTGGCGTTTCTAGCCTAAATTTATTTACACTCAATATGAACAGTTAATGCCTATTTGGCCTTGTACCAGCAATGGCTGAAGGTATAAATAGCTCTTCTTCGTGAATTCATTTATAAAGAAAGATTATGCTTGCTCTCAGTGCTTGTTATCACATTTATGAAAGCAAAACTCTTTTCAGTCTCCTCTTGTGAGATGGACTCTCCATTCCCCAATGTGCCTCGCAGTGCCTTCTTTGTATCCGCTCCTATCTGAATGTTTATCCTTCCAGCAAAGTTTTCAGAAAGATTTGTGACTTGGTTATGGACATAGAATCATAGAATGGTTTGGGTTGGAAGGGACCTCAAAGATCATTTAGTTCCAACCCCCTTACCATGGGCAGGGACACCCTCCACTACAACAGGTTGCTCAAAGCCTCATCTAATCTGGCCTTGAACACCTCCAGGGATGGGACTTCCATAACTTCTTTGGGCAACCTGTTCCAGCGCCTTACTACCCTCAATGTAAACATAACATAACATAGACACTTTTCAGAGGTCTTCCAAAATAACCATGGCAGAGCTGGAAACAGCCCAACCTATCCTTCTCCCCTTTGCTTGGATTGTTGGAACTCACTTCTTATGGTTTAAATACCAGTGTTTTACATTCTGCAACTGAGTAGATTATGCTTCTCATCTTTGTTACCTGCACCAGGGGATCAGGTGTTTTGACAGCAGGTGTTGACTGATATTGTCTTTCTTTTCCAGGGAGGTTCAGCTTTTTCTCCAGCATCTATTATTACTACGAGGAGAGCGCAGACCCAAGCAGCAGTCCTGGCCGAAGATGTGGGATGCCCTATATCCAACAGCGAGGAAATTGTAGCCTGCCTCCGCCAGTTGCCTGCTCGTGTCCTCAATGATGCACAGACTAAGGTACACCATAGCAAAATATATGCAATTGGCAAGGAATCAAGAGAGTTGTCATTGACATGTAGCTGTGAGGAAGCTTAAGAAATAAATTGGACTGAATCCTTGTGAAAGAGCAACTGTACTATCTCCAGTGGAGTGATGATGTTCATGACATCCACCTCTGACCTATGAGTACTCACAGCTTGATTCTCCTTCAGACTAAATTCCTTTTACAGTACTTTCACCATGTCTTCCAAAACTAATCTAAATACAGTTTTACCTTCTTTCAGTCCCCTCTCATCTGCCCCTGGGTGTTACTCTAAAGGAGAATCAAGTGTCTGTAGCTTCAGTAACTGCATTTTTGCAGAAAAGGAAGTGGGTAGGGACATCAGTTCCCTGCCTCTTGAGTGGGAGACTTGTGAAAGCTGCAGCATAAATGATTCTAGAGATGGATCCTTTAATCACAGATAAAAACATCCGCTGGCAATACATTTTCCGATCAGGACCAGCATAGACCCAATCCCTAACTTAAAACAATATTTTTATGGCTATCAAATCATCAATTGTCTTGGCCTATTCAGCTCCTTTCACCTACTGAGACTGTCAACAAAAGCATTACTTCCTGCCAATGGTGAGTTTGCACTTACATTAACTGATCCCTTGTTCACTTGAAGGCTATCAGCTCAGTGTTCTGAAACATAAGTAAAATGGAAGGAAATGACCAGGGTAAGTAATTTAACTGCACTCTCGTTGTTTTTTTGCTAATCTAGCTTCTAGCTATAAGTGGTCCATTCCAGTACTGGGGTCCAGTGATGGACGGAATTTACGTTCAGGAACCTTTAGCTAAAGCCCTGCAGCGCCCTCGACTTCGGAAAGTAGATCTGCTTATTGGAAGTGCTCAGCAAGATGGGTTGATCACCAGAGCTAAGGCAATTAAGGTAGGAAGAGACTCACTGTTAAGGAACTGATGGTATTACTATTATTATTACTATAATGATGATGATATATGCAGCCAGAACAGATCCTTTTTGTTTTCTACAATTTGTGAATTACACTCCATGAAAATATGCAAAGGCATTGTCCATCTCCAGCCAGTCCTCTTTAGGCTGATTAATGGCATTATTATATTTGTTGATTAACACTACTGGGGGAGATATGAAAAGGTAAAATATCAGCAATGATTTAGTATGTGTAAATATACAGCAGTATGTTTTACTGTCTCTGAAACCCTATATTATACTGCTATCTCAGATGTCTATCACAAAGAAGAAAGCAAGCTCATATCTTGGTTATGAGGTTCTTCACCATGAAGCAGTGCTAAGTTGGTCTTTTCTATGCCAACCTATTTTATTTTTTGTGGCAACCTTTTTTCTCTGTTGCCTTTAAGTACATTTTCTTGTAAATATGATTCTGAATATGGACTAGCTATGACTAAAAATAGCACTGGCCTGATGTGTGGGCTAGGGTTTCAGGGCATAAACTAGTGAAATGAAAAAGAATTGCATCCATACTGTATTTTGAACATAGAATCATAGAATGGTTTGGGTTGGAAGGGACTTTAAAGATCATCTAGTTCCAACCCCCTTGTAATGGACAGGTACACCTTCCACTAGATCAGGTTGCTCAAAGCCTCATCCAACCTGGCCTTGAACACCTCCAGGAATGGGATAGTAGGACATAAAAGTCCTCAAATCATTAAGGTCTATCCAGACAGATTTTGCATCTGCTTATGAACCATTTGGCACTGTCTGTTCTTGAGACAGCATATCAACCTCTTCTAGTTCATTTGTCCTTCTCTGCAACGGGAACAATAGCACTTCCCTGTTTAACGCTGCCAAATTAAATTAAATGTTCCGACGTGCTCAGAGATAAGCTAACAAATCAACAGGAGAATGTGACACAGCAGGGATTATTTTGAGGGTTATCTAAGTGAGCTGCAGGTCTGTTGCTATCTTTCTAGAACGGTGTGGATTTCATCTCTTAGAAGGCAGTGAAAGGTTAATCCTTGCTTCTCTTTGCTGGTACCCAATAATACATAGACCAGTTTAGTTCAGAATTAATGACAAAATTACCCCTTTGAAAGAAGGCTTTTTAAGCCATCTGAATAAAGTTCATATTGCTTACTTAGTCTTCATCAGAAGTTTCCTGCTCTTATTTCATGTATCTTTCTCTTTTGGAATCTATTAAAAGAGGAAGTCAAGCATCGGAAATGGACTGTGATGCTGGAGGCCTGCAGATAGTGATCCAGACTCTGTGAGAGGGGAATAAATCTCAGTAACCTCATTACAAGTCATATGATGAAGACTAGGAAGTGAAATTCTTTCCTTTACCACTATTTCCATGTGACAGTTGTCTGCAAAACTGAAATGAAATTTCATGATGTATTAGAAATTATACAAAAAATTATGGTGTTAATGAAAGACTCAACTGCTAAAAGCTAGCACTGTCAGGTTGAAATGGAAAGGAAAAACGCTGGTAACTGAGAGCTCAGCAATAAAATGTTGTTTTTCCAAAAAGAAAACCTGGAATATCTTCTTTATTTAAAGACTTACAGAAAATAAGATTGGAAGAGGACTCAAAAATTTAGTGTAACTCAACCTTAAGAAATGGCCGTGTCTACCTCACCCTGAGAGACCTGCTTTAAAATCTCCTGCTATTGGAGATCTTCTGATCTTAGAAGGTTAATTAACTTCTTTACTAGATATTTTAATAGTACCTGCCTTACTTGGTGCTATTGCTGTGAGATTCCATCTCTGTTCCAGAAAATTCATAATGTTCATAGTAGATGGCTGTATTTTGTTTTCTCCTTTTTGACTTCCTTAAGCTGTTTTTATATTCTCAATAAGAGCTGATGATTTTTTTTTAATGTACGTTTTCCTCTATTTCTGTTTTCCTGTGTCTTCAGGTTTTTAGGGCTTCAGGAAAGATGACTGGTTTGACCAGTCTGATTGTTTTCTTCAAGACCTGTTGCAAGTTTAAAGTTTCCTAATTTCTTCCTTGTCCACGCAGTTAGTGTATTAATTGCTGGGAAATTGTAGTGCTTCCTCTGTCATTGAGCTATTTAAGAACATGCATTTTCCAGGTCCTCAAGAGCATTTCTACGTCATAACCATGACCATGCATGGCTGCAATCAAAGTCAGATGATAAAGTCCTGAGTAGGCCACAGGCATATTTAGCTACAGTGGCAGAAACTGGTGCGGGTGGTGGTTGTTATTGAGAAGTCTGTGCCCCATTTCCTCTGTCATACTGTCATAAGGGATCTTTGATCTGTGCTATCTGTCCTCTCCCCAGAGTAGACATAGAAGAAGGATTTCAAACAACCCACACTGTATACCACTGTTCTACTTTAATCACTTTAAGGGTTCCCTTGAGGGAGATCTGACTTGCGTCTTTCTGGGAAAACCTAAAGCTGGTTTTACTGATATACTAAGTAAGGTGGGAGGGCTTAGCTGGTGGACAGAGCACTGGACTCAACTTGGGGAACAAAAGCATAGTTCCTAGTTTGCCTCTGACTACAACCAAGTTATTTAATCTGTTCTACAAAGAGGGGACGAAACCTCCCTGTTCTACAAAGAGGGGAGTGAAAATCCACCTGTGGATGTGCTCCAACTCTGTAGAGAGAAGAACCATGCATGTATTTGGGTGGACAAATGGCACAGCTAAATGGTCCTGTGGCAAGCGTATGGAATGGCAAAGTCCTTCATTTCCATCTCCTTTAGGATGACTGATTTCAGTGTGGTCAGATGCAAAGGGCTTGATCTATTAATCCCAGTCTTGCTCTATTAATCCTGATCTTGTAAATGGTGAGGAGACACTTTTAGCCATTTGGATGTAAGCAAGCTTAAGACATGATGCAATTCTTATTGCCTTGGACTGGAGTTGAATGCAAGTTTTATAAGCTCTTAGCATTCGAGACTTAGGAGTGAAAGTAAAACCAGACCTGAAGGTGGTAAATCCAGTTGGCACCATGTTGCTCTGTGGGGACTTACTGGCATTTGGTTGTTTTAGGTGTTTCTGTACTCTCACTGTGACGCTGTGCTTACGCCTGTTAAGAACTTCATTATTAAAAATGAAATAGAAATACAGAAGGCACCATTTATGTGCTAGCAAAGCATTTGCGTTCAATTTGTTTACAATTGAAAGCTGAGATCTCTCGGAGATGCTCGAAGCAGAGAATATGCTGAATATTCCTGCTCAATGTCTTGCCCATGGAAATGACCGTTTTATGGCATTCACTTGAATGCTTATTCATGTGAACTGAGACAGATTTACCACTTCCTGCAGCACTCCGTACTTGTCCCCAGTGCAGCCATCAGATGGTTGAAATGAAGTGAGAAACAAAGCAGAGTTTGTTAAGGGAATGGCAAGTGGTGCCATAATGCACTATGATGTGGCATATGGAGCTGTTAAGCCTGAACCCGTTAACTGCAATTCCCATGGCAGACCTTCAGGGATGTTGCCTTTGAGCAGTCATAGATTAGGGCAGCTGAGCAGAAACCTCTAAAAATGTTGATTTCAATTCCCAGCTGGGCAAAATTTTATCCATGTGCTATATGTGATGCTCAGGTGGGAAGATCTAATGGTTCCTACTGGCAACAAGTAAATGGAGTCACTCATGCTGATCTATATCTGTGTTTGTCTATATATGTATATAAGTCAGTATGACCCTGTTTATATCCTCCATATGTTCTGTGCCTGCTATGTCATCTCCACATTGCAAGGATCGTTAACTTTTGTTTTAGTTGGAAGACTAAGTTTGCACTTCATGTGTTTTCTTTCTTTTTCTTTCCCTCCTTACTACAAATTTAGCTGGCTGCAGAACCCTGAACTAGGACATAGGAGAGTGAATAGATAGAAATATAGTTTATTTACCCTGTGTAAGCAACTGCATCTATGCAGACCAGATCTTCCATCCTGCACCATATTGCAGCCAGTTAATTTCTTTATGGATCAAAGTATTCAGCAACATGCAACAGATGGCAGATATGTGCATATTAATTACAATGACCAGGGGAGCAGTGTCCTGATAAATGCCATCAGTGAGGAGAATGGGCTGATATCAGCCTCTTTACGTCATTTTCTGGTATCTTTGAAATACTCTGCTGAATGGCTGGCAGCATTTCATCCACCATCTTTTGTGACAACGTTTATCAAAAGCCATTTAAGACTTAAGATCTGTACATACTCTGTTAATGTTTTTACTATTCCAGTTTGTCAGAAAAGTACTTTTTTCCCCTTGGAAAATGTAAACGTTTCATCTACCAACTGCTGCAATTTCTTTTTTAAATAAAACACTGGACCAGATTGATTCATATGATCCAGAAGCTATGCTGCAGCAACAAGAACATTAAGCATTATATAACTCATTATTTAGACTATTTTTATGACTACTTTGCATTGCCAGAACAGTAGAAAGCAATATACCTGATGAATCTTTATTTTTTTCTTACTTACTTTCTAACAAAAGTTGAAAACCTCACTATAACTCTGAGATCAGTTGCTAATACCTCTTTAAAGGTTAGCAGAATGTAAATTATTTTACATAATGTGCAGCTGTTTCTATTAATCTCATAGCAGCTGTTGTATCTACTGTTATTTGAAAATTATTCCTTGGTCATATATTTTCTAATGGGAAACATTTCTTGGACATGGAAAGTTTGTCAAATTGAATCAATTTCTGAAAAGTTAAAATGCTTTGTCTTTTTAATGTTTCATGGGTTTTATTTTCAACGTTGTCGTGGTTTTTGGACTGAGGGTCGAGACAAGAACCGAGTGGGAGCACCCACCAACCATGGTCCCAGGCAAAACATGACTCAGGCTTTTTTTTCTTAAAAAAACCCAATTTATTAACAGTTACTTAACAAGAGACATAAGGGAACGAAACTGGTTACTTGAGAGGAGAAAGAGAAAACAAGGCCAGATCTTAAAACAACACCTCCCCACCTCCTATTTCCTTTCGTTCCTGGCTCTACCTCCCCCCCCGGCGGCGCAGGGGGACAGGGAATGGGGGAGTGCAGGTCAGTTCATCCATGTCGTTACTGCTGCTCCTTACTTAAAGGAGGAGGAGTCCTTACACCATTTTTCCCTTGCTTCGGTGGATCCCCTACTCACGAGGAAAAAATCCCCAAACTTTTCCAGCATGAGTCCTGCCCGCAGGATTGCAATCCTTCCCCATGGATTGCACCAGTTCGGGCTTCACCAGTCTCGGCCTCTTAGGGAGCTGCTGCCACTCGCATCGGCGTGGGCCGTCCCACGGACTCCAGATGCCTCCACGACCTCGTCGTGCATTCCCTGCCCATGATTAACAGTACCTCGTTGTGCATCCCCTGCTCCACGACCTCTCCTGGGCTCAGGCGTCTCTTCCCCGACGTGGGTTTCTCCACGGGCTGCAAGTGGGTCTCTGCTCCGCCGAGTGCACCCTGGCTGCAGGGGGGCCGCCTGCCATCTTCAC